GCCCGGCCCCGCGCGCAGCTGGGCGCCCTGGCCAGGGGCTGGGCCGAGGGGGCTGGCGGCCCCTCCCGCAGCGACGGGCTTCTGCCGCCCCCGGGGGCCGCGCAGGCGGGCGGGGGCCACGCGCGGGCAGCCCGGGCCGGAGAGACCCGAGGCCGTGGCTGATGCAGCCGTGGGGGGGCCGGGCCTCCGAGGGCAGGTTCTGCAGCTCCGGACCACGCGCGGCCCGCAGGGCGGGGGGCAACGCCCATCAGCCACGGAGCCCAGCAGAAATGCTCGCAGGCATTCACGGGGGTGCTCGTGGGACCCAGCCAAGCACCGGCGCTTTGCCACCAGTGTGAACGGGAGCGTGGAAACGTGGCAGCAGTCCCTTTCCCGAAGGAATCCCGGTGGTGCCCCGGACTCGCCTCCCCACCTGTTGCCTTCACAGCCCTCCTGCGGGGTGGGCTGGGCTGGGGTGGGGTGGGCTGGAGGGGTGAGTCGCCCAAGGGCAGGCCATGAGGGAGGCCGGTCTGCCTGGGCTTCGTGAAGCACCTCGAGCACAGTCTTACTGCCCGCTCTCCGCCAAACGCCTTAAACCACAACTCCCATCATCCCTGGCCATGTGCCGCAGGGATGGGAGCAGACGGGGGCTGTGGCGGTTCAGAGCATCTTTCGGATCGCTGGCACCCGGGAGGGCAGAGTGGCCTCGGCCACCGCATCATGCAAACAACAGGCAAATGAGCACCGCTGACAGACGGGGTGCGTCATGGCGAGGGCGCGGGCGGGCGGCTTGGCACGAGCGCAGGTGTTCCGGCCTGTCCGTCCCTCCCATCACCCTGAGAACGTTGGAGGGGTGCCGTGCGTCCCGCCCTGGGCCCCAGTCACGGGCTGCTAAATGTGCCGGCAGCTCAGGGGTGGGGTGGCCTGGGGCTCTGCCCGTGTGCCCACCACCCTCCGTCTAGCCTTCCTCACAGGGCTGTTGTGAAGATTTAACAGCAAGAGGAGCCCGTAAGCCACAGGAGGAAAATGGCCGACCAGCACGTCGTCGCACCCATCCACGTGGGGCTGAATGCACGCTGGGGGCAGGAGGGGCCTTCTCGGGAGCCCAGCGGGCCAAACGGTCCCCGGGAGGGCCAGGCTTGAGGCCGCCCTCCTCGGCCTGGGGGGGACGGTGCATGTGCCCCAGCTGGGGCTCTTCCAAGGCCCTGTGTGCCCCCAGAGCAGGGCATCATCCCTCCTGGAGAAAGCACCTTTCTGGGTGGGGGGCAGCCATGCCGTGAGCGGCGTTTCGGGAGATGCCACTGCCGGGCCAGACGGAGCCGGTCTCTGGAACCCGGATGCCACGTGCCTGGACGCCTCTCCACCTTCGGAGGTTCCCGCAAGGGCAGCGTGGCCTCTTTGGACCGCAGGCCCGAGTCCGATGCTCGCCGGTCAGCAGCAGCCCCTTTCCCAGGAAGTCCCATCAGGAGAGGAAAGTTGGGGCCGGCGACCATTTTCGCAGGCCAAGGGTCCTCCATGCCTTTTCCAGAAGGGGAAGAGACCCAG